GTCACTTGAGGTCAGGCAGTTTAAGACCAGGCCTGACCAGAACATGGCAAACCCCATCCTTACCAAAAAATACAAAATATTAGCTGGGGTGATGCCACACTTTTAATCCCAACTACTCGTCAGCCTCCCAAAATGCTGGAATTACAGGTGTAAGCCACCTTACCCAGTCGTTTTTAATTTATTCTCCCCTTTTCTTCATACTGGAAGTTAGAAGGTAGGATTAAAATTTAAAAGATCCCCAGGAGAAACAAAAAGCCCAGGATTCCATACTACTTTTTCAGACTGAGGAGTTGGACTTTTCTACTTCCCTCTTCATGGCAGGAGTAGCTCTTCAAGGGTTTTCCTCCAACGACACCTCCTGGGTCTCCAGAGCCTGTGTCTCAGGAAGTTCAGGCAGTTCTCTTTTGCAGCTTCTGAACCTAAACAGAGAAGGCGGCCCGGGGCCTGGGTCCCCCAGGCCCGAAAGCCAGGAGTCAATGTGAGCAACAAGGGCATCCAAGGAGAATTCTGCACAAGAACCACTGAGCCCATCAGCTGAGCTGGGGTCAAGTCAGATTGAACCCACTGTGGCTTTGTCTTCTGTCTTTATTCTAAAACCTTTTTCTTCCTTTTGCTTCAGCTGTTTATTTAAAAGTTATTTTTTACTGCATTTTGCCAATATTTCTATGTGTAGGTACCAATCTGCTATACTCTAAAAAGCTGTGGGAGTTAATTTACTTATCTTACAGACTGTTTACAAGTTCCAAGTCTCACCTTCCACCTCACATCTTTTTGTTTTTGTCTGCTTTCCTCTGTTTCCATCTAGTTCACTTACAAGTAGACTTTTTTTTTTTTTTTGAGACGGAGTTTTGCTCTTGTCACCCAGGCTAGAGTGCAGTGCACAATCTCAGCTCACTGCAGCCTCTGTCTCCTGGGTTCAAGCGATTCTCCTTTCTCAGCCTCCCGAGTAGGTGGGATTACAGGTACCTGCCACCACACCCAGCTAATTTTTGTATTTTTAATGGAGACAGGATTTCACCATGTTGGCAAGGCTGGTCTCGAACTCCTGACCTCAAGTGATTCACCCGCCTCAGCCTTCCAAAGTGCTGGGATTGCAGGCGTGAGCCACCACACCCAGCCTAGATTCTTTTTCTCTGTCTTGCTCCTCTGTACTGATGATTCATTTTGAAGTTCTGAGTGGCTGTCGTTCTGGCCTCCCCTCAAATCCCTTTGCCTCTCAGGTTGGGGAGGTAAGACCTCCTCTGCACACAGGCTCCTGGACCCCATGCTCTGCTCACAGCCAGAGTCCAGGTAAGAAAGCTGGCCATAGTTCTCTGTGCTGTAGTTCCTGGGCGTGTTGCCTTTCCCCCATCCTTCAGCAGTTTCTAATATGATGGACTTGACAGGTCTCAGCCTTCCTGGCTGGACACACCCCTGGCTATGATAGAAACATGCCCAGCTGGAAGCAGCTGACATGCCCAGAGCTTCCAGCAATGGGCTTTCCAATACAACATGTTGGGGCCCTTATTTCCTGTCACTTCTTTTTGGCTGGGTGGCTCCCTCTAGCCACAGGCATTCCCTGGGCAGCTGTCAGAGTTAACATCTGAGCCTGGCCAGCACTAGTGCAGCTGTGGGCTCTGGCATTGCTGCTGTTGAGTAAATTCCCCAGTGAGCCCACAGTGCTGCCTTGACATCCCTGTTGGGTGCAATTCTCTTCAAAGAAGGCCAGCTTCCTAGGTGCGAGCCCTATGCAGTCACACTGGGACCCGCCCTCAGACCTTGTACTTGGATTCATGCTCTGGTGTTGATAGCTTGAAATTCAAAATAATTTGTGAATAAAGTTTTGCTTTTTACTGGGCTCCATAAATTATGTAGCTGTCCTTAGGAGAAACAGAGAAGAATACCACTGGCACTTGGGGAAGTGGGTGGGGTTTATTGACTAACCCAGCGTCTTGGGAGTGCAGAGCAACGGCCATTATAAGTAATTGTTTTTTCTTCTGGGAAGCTCCCACCCATCTATAAAAGCATTTTAGGCCAGGAGCAGTGTCTCAAGCCTGTAATCCCAGCGCTTTGGGAGGTCAATGTGGACCTTGGGGTCAGGAGTTCAAGACCAGCCTGGCAAACATGGTGAAATCACGTCTCTACTAAAAATACAAAACTTAACTGGGCTTGGTGGCGGGTGCCTGTAATCTCAGCTACTCCGGAGTCTGAGGCAGGAGAATTGCTTGAACCTGGTAGGTGGATGTTGCAGAGAGGTGAGACTGCCCCGCTGCACTCCATCCAGAACAATAGAGTGAGACTCCATCGCCAAAAAGAAAAAGTGTTTTGGTGCCTTAGGAAAGGGAAAAGGTAGACAGCCTCTAGAATAACTGTCTGATGTAACTTTCTGTGATGCTGCTAATGTTTTATATATTTGATGTCCAATATAGTGGCCACTATCCCCATGTGGCTTCTGAAACCTTGAACTGTAGCTAGTATGACTGAGGACCTAAATTTAAAAATCTTAATTATTTAAAAATTAAAATTACATAGACACATGGAGCTGCTACCATATTGCACAGCATAACTCTAAAACGACAAAGTAATTTCTGACCTTTGTGCTTTGATTATTGTTCATACTGATCTATAGCAAGACTTAGGCTTTGTCCAGAAAGGATTTTTAAATTCAGATTTAAGGCATACCATGAACTA